GTTGTCAAGCCGCAAATTTCCCGAACCGCTGAGGCCCCCGTTAACGATCTTCACAGATCGCTTTCGTGATACGTATTGACGTTTATTTTGTCACTGATTCTACGAGCCCGTTCAAGCTATCTTTTTGAGCAATAGACTCTGCACATGCCTATAGCCTTAACAACTATAATAATAATAATATTATCTAGTACGCCGCGTCCGTCAGACACGTATATCTAAACTCATCCACACCTGCTTTTCTTAGAGAAGCGAATGGATCCGCTCTCATCCGTACAGCGGCTGGCCATGCGATATCCTAGAGGCTTTTCGATCTCGTATTGACAAAACGATTGGAGGAAAAAGGAACAGCGTACACTATGATATTGAGTCCGATAAGTAGAAACTTTGGTTGATGATGTGCGTGATTTTTCTCATCGAAAACCTTCAAACTAATTAGTAAAAGATATATACGGTATAATAAAATCAGGTTGAAATCGAAATGGTGCCCTATCGGTTAGGCACTGCATAACGAGTAGAGAGGAGGATTCCAGTAAAAAAGATCAAGATCTCTTTACTACCAACTTGGCATATATTATCGTTTAAAAGCACAGCCCTTTTGTAGATTCGTGTTTAAGTGAGTCCTCTCAAGGGTGTATCGTCTTTCTGTTCAAGTTGCCAGTTGTTCGGTAAAGCATCTTATTGTTAATTAGAAAGTTGCACATCGATAATATACATCTATTCATGTGTCGCCCAACAAAAAAAAACACTTGTTTTTCGGCAACGTCTGTATGACTTCGCATCCTGTTAGCGTTTATCGCCGAAAAGCTTTTTCAGCTTACGGCTGTTTTTTATATGAATTTCTTTTGCTTTGACATTTTATGATCTACAATATGTTTGCAACCTTACCAACAACAGCATGAACAACGCTACAACGAAGCTCATTACAGCGGCCTGCAAGTTTGTCTAACTTAGCTAACTTCTCTGGTTAATTATTCATTTGGGCCTCATTTGATTCGCCCGTCTTTTAAACCTTGGAAGCCATCAGCCTCACCGTTGCATACTATGGCGGAACGGTTCCTTCCTAAGCTTCCACTGACCAACGTCGACGTCACAGTAGCGTGTCCGATCCTCCGTCGAACAGGAGGGAGCTGTCTGATAATATTAATGTAATAGTACTAACCTACTGGTTTTCACTGTGTGTTATCGAGAATAATATGATTGCCCCGGGTGAATCTTCTCGCTGCGTATTATTCTGCCGCAAAGCCATCTCTGTCGCTATGGTTTGTCAAGGGGATTCCAATATTTTAGGATATTTCCTCATCCTGCCTGCCTGCCTGCCTGCCTATTTTGGAAGGGTCGCCAACGTTAATAGCAATGTCCTGTGTCTATTAGCGTTGCACTAGAAACGAAACAAATCATGACCACGATGGGCATCCGCCTCGTTTACAGCAATGCATTCAGCCGTATCTACGTGCCAGTCTAGAAAATCATAAGGGCAACTGAGAAAGCTTTGAACCTAATCATTGAAAGTGATATGGAAGGGAAGGAAGCCAGCCGGGCAGATACATATGCACGTGAATAATTATCTGTATAAAACGATGACAAATCAAACAACATTGATACAGTCTGTCTGGCCCCTGTTTACCACCATAGCACTTCATACTGCTAGCATAAAAGAGGTGTTCGGGTTCCACATTTTGATCTTACTTACGATAAGGACCTCCATTTTAGGTCACCGCCGTTCAAAAGCATGATGATTACCTCTACGACGCTGCCTGTCATAAATGTGATACAACTTTATGAAATGCCAGATGCTCCGATTCTGTATGTACTCACATACGCGTTGCAGATTCAATAGGTAACACAGAAAAAGAAATCATCCCACAACAATTATTAGGTTTAGTCCCGCTTCGTTTTGTTCCGCGAACGCTTGCTTGTTGACGTTGTTCTGCTTGTAAAGTCCCTCGCTGCCGTCTCGATCATCAACAACGAATTTACCCGTTTACCAAAGAACAGGTAAATGCTGCTTTCGCGGCTGTTCATTTAGCCGGAATCCGGCACAATGAAAATACCGCGCACTAATAAATCTTCGTGAAGGAAAAATTATGACGAATAAAATGAGCATGAGACGAGACTCTAACGTTCCTCAGGACCCTCATCTGTAGCAATCCGTGGAGACAAACAGTAGGCAGATGTCGATTACACGGAACGCTTTTCCAGTGTCAGCCGTACCGGAGTTATTCAACAACGACAACGGCCAGAACAGTCCACTCACAGAGTACCGCAAGGGTCACTAACAACTTATTAAGCGGATGATGTCGGAGACCCTCCTTCACCTGTCGCTCAACAGTGAACAGCAACTAAGGACTGAAAATCTTTCTCGTGATAAAACATTCACCTTCCTTTGTCCAAGTGTCAAAGAAATTAGCGCTAGTTGCAAAAATACTTAAGCCGCGACTGCAGATATATGGCTAGTCTCTGCTGACTGGGCATCAAGGGACCGAATAGTCCGAGGGATTTTTCGCCTCGCAGAGAATTCACCGTGGTCCAATGTCAGCTTAAGTTCAATCCCGTCACTTGCCATTCGTTTAAACGTTGTCAAAGAATAGCGGCCGCTGTCGCATTGGCCCGCACTCCGTGGGGGCTGGTAGCTCCCTGACCAAGTTTCTTTTTTCTTTTTTATCGGCAGAGCCGACCGAGCGTAGAGTTCTTGCTTGCCTATGCGCTCCAGCTTTATGCGCTTTTTCATTGCGGCGATGGACCGTGCAGACCCCGTATATGCTGATCCCCTCATAAGCGTAAGTGACCGCTGGTATACCAGCTGGCAAATCCGCAGGAAAGCAACAACAACAATAACAACGACACAATAGCAGCCGTGGCAGGGGAGGGAACAGCGGCGAACTTGCCGTAACCGGACCACGCGATGCAAGTTAGCGGCGGACTACTGGCTAGACGCCCTATTGTGATAACGAGATAATAACTGCGGATAGTAACGGCTCTGGTAACGCGTGCTTTCAGCAACGCGACGGCTTACAGCAGCGAAGAAAGGTGACTGAAGTCGATGGTCGTAGTTACATTTAGCTTCGTTTTGCCTAAACGAATTTCAAGCGCAATAGAAACCGCGCCACCAACAAGACGATAGCGACACCTACGACAACAGCATCGACAACCACGGCAACTGTATTTGTATATGGAGCCAACAAAAAGAAACTGGATTCTACTGCCAAAAAAGGACTCGAACAGGTGCAAAGGTCTTCTTTAAGCTCGTTATTCTGCAGTTATTGGTGAAGTTGATATTTGCGGTAATGGCAGAAGGGGGAAAGGTCATCAGCTATTTTTGTTGTTGTCGTTTCTGTTGAAATTCCTATTATGAATCAGAGTGTCTACACTCGTATAGTGCGTAATTGCTATCTTTTAAATTAAGAAAATATATTTTACCTAACTTGAACGCCATTGCGGTTATCAATAAATTAGCACCGTTTTCCATTAACGTGTAGTAGTCATCCAGTTGTTGCCAGCAAAGTAAGATGGATTCACACAACTTATAGACTAGTTACTTCTCAAGTTGTCCTTGTTTGATCCGGAGATTTCGAATGTCGCAGTCCATAATAATTATAGACGTATACAAATAACACAATCTCATTATCATCTTTATTCGAAACGATACGTCGCCCTTGTGGAGTTTCAGTGGTTGAGCCCTTCGACGTCTTGTACCCTTAGTTATCTAGCCTAATATAGTGAAAGATTCATTACGTCAAAGGCTGGAATTAGAAGGAAAAAAAAGTTTGTGCGAACATGTCCTAATTAAGGCAAAGACGAAATGAAATACCAATTATTCCCCATCCTATTAATAAATATCAACGACTCGGATAGGCACGTTGACGACTTTTGATTGTTATGATTTTATCCGTTCCATTATTACTTCGTGCATCTCTTTTCTACCGTAACGCGCAGGTAAGTGAGAACGCGTATCGTAAAGAGTGTGATACCAATAGGTCAAAGCACGCCATTTTTTCTCGCAATATATCAATAATCTAAATATTTCACAAATGTTATGCACATACCAATTCTATATGGCATCGTGAAGGTGATAATTGAACGGAAGGGTTTGTAAGCCCAAATACCTTCCATTGGATGCTATTTGTGATGTCTGCAAATTGTGGTCACGTATTATATCATAGGGGAAACAAAGAAAGTTGTTAACGCATGCGTGCCTTTATGTGAGTTTTGCTGTTCCATTATCATTACTATTACTTTAGTCGCATCGCCTGCACCCTTTGTTATCGTCCATGCCATTCGATACAAATCGCTTGAAAGATAATGACTCGCTAAAAGCCGCTACGAAGAATCGCCTGGATAGTTCTTGCGAGAGGCATCCATCCGACTATCATTAAAATGGCGGGACTGCCTTTTTGCCCCTGTGTAACAGCCTTTGACATGCTGACCGCAGGAAAAAAGTTAGGCGTCCCGTAACCACTGTATTCCGTGCAGCGGCGGGCAAGTTGTCGTCATCAGAAATTTGCAATGTCCAGGAAGAATGATGATTTTTTGGCGGAGTAAGAAGGCTGGCCACCATTGAAGTTACTACGTGCACCGACAAGTGGGCCCATTGTGTTAGCCCCTATAAAATAAGTTGTTATTATCGTCGTCGTAAAAAAAAATTGGAATCTTGCTACAGTGCTAAAGATGTGGTTAGCCTGTGTGTATCTCTATGTTTGCCAAACAGCACATCTAACCAAAGACCTTCCCAGTGTGGAGGATGTATCTAAGCTCGCGTTGGCCCCTGGTGAATTGCCAAACGAATATTGTCACGTTTATGGATGAAGAACTATTGCCACTGTGGCTGGGCATATTGCCCTGCGTTTAAATATCTTCCCTTCGGCACTTGTAATAGTGCAAGGGCAAGCGCATTTCTAATTGACCGTGAGATCTAGTAACAGACATTGTTTATTTCGTAAGCAAAATATTTTGACTGCGCCAAATATCCGTTGCCGCAAAAAGAGACGATATTTTGAACTCACCTCCAGTGCCAGCGAAGGATGCATTTCGAACAGCTAATATCCTTAGGCAACGTGGCCACAAGATTGAACAGGCCTTTTCGGTCGTTGTTGAGCCTGTAGCGCATTTTACCTTCCTCGACGAGGACTTCGGTTGAGTTGAGCGATTTTACCCGTAGCGGCTGAAAGCAGTCTTCGGTCTCGCGGACGCCACTATCATTTCGCGGACAAAGAGCAAACTCGAAATAGCCTAGAACAGGCAACCAACGAGAAACAAATGACAACTAATATTGCAGGTCGCCTGTTGTGCGGTGCTCTACCAAAAACGTTCAGCTTCGTCTGAAGAATCTTGAAGACAAGCTTGGCTTAGACAACTTCCAGCAACGAATTAGTGCAACTTGACTTCGACCTAAACAATCAGGAGTCAACCTAGGAATCGGCTACTTAAGAACCGAGCTAAAAGAGTAACCAGACAACCTGTGAAGTGAATAGCCGCCATTCGTTACTTTATGCGAGTGTGAGCGCAATAAGAGCAGTCAAATAAATCACACTTAATTGCCTGTAGCTCTACACTGTGGAGAAGACAGAAGATGAGTGATGTGGAAAATTATATGATTGTTCTTCCAGTAATAATAACTTCTAAGAAAACTGGCACAACCTGTAGAATCAGACACAAATGTTAATGGTGTTAATTATTTAGCTTCGTTTTTACGTAAGAACATAAAAGCAAGAAATAGTCTGACGCATGTATCCACATTTCTGACTCACCCGTATACTCTTTAGTGTAGACTATATCTATTCGTCATGTACTACATTGTCATAGGTGCGTAGTATCAAAAATGGCGTGGCCCATTACGTGTCTCTTATAAGACACATCAAGGGTCATGCATGACGAAAGGACGTAGACAGACGGTGTCCTGCGTGATTTAAGCTGCAGGGTTCTTACATACTCGATACGATCTATTTAACAACAGGTGTGGATAATCAGCAATGAAACAGTGCACTAGCGTGCATCACTTGTTTCGTTTAGGTTACTACTGAAGCACGCGAAGTCAGTCGATGGTGAGTGAGCACGTACCTATTCGACTCGAATAGATAAGAATTTTTACTGTTCATTTATTATACTATCATCATATATTCGCTTGCCGTCAATGGTCCCTATTAAAAAGGCCTCCACCGACGAGTTTGGTCACCATTTTTTCGATAGCTAATTCCAATAGGCATGTGTGCTTTTAAGACCTGATTTGTATGAGACTTTTAATCTCAGCATTATGAATCGCTGCCGATATGATTCGATCACTGATTCAATAATCCAAATACACGAAATACTCACAAAGGGTTCGATGCTCAAGTAGAAAACTTAACAAATTGTCATTTTATCGGTAAAGGTATAATCGCGCCACGGTTTGTCAGCGTCAGTCAAATGTGTCATGCTATGGTACATTTCCTATCTATATGCGATATTCTAGATAAATTACGTTGATTGTTTAGATTATTGGAGGATTCTATTCCAGTTCCATAGTCATGTTGGCGGGGATGTTGTACGTTGCAACCAGTTCATTACGGCCGCAACAATGACCACTTCCTGGTCACAAGACGGCAAAACAAAATCGTTCTGGGCATATCAGTTACATAGAAGGATTGCGCCAGCGTCAATGAAGAGGTGACCATTTGTGAGATATGAATAGATGTATATTCGTATCTGGATAGGAGGAAGTAGTTGATAGTGTAGATTATCTGATCTGTTTGCGTTCGACTATTTTTGAGGCTTCATTATATTTTTAGCCGTCGTCCAGAAATTACATTGCGTTCAACAAATAACAATATCGATAACGTTTATTGATACAGTTCGATAAAAGCTTGCTTTTGTTAGATGATACGCAAAACTTCTTTTCTCTCAACAATGATGTCTTCTTTCTTTCTTTCTGGGCTGGTGATGTCTCTCAATTCGAGTTGGAGTTTTGTCACATTTGATCGCCACTGCTCTCCTGTGAAGGTTTTCGACTTTTTCAGCAAAGTTCCACTAAAATCGCCAAGTTCATTACTGAATATGTCGAACGAACGTTATTATATACTAAATAAGCATATTATCTTTCAGTTTGACTAGACTTGTCCTAATAAATGAATAATCATTTTAATATATTTGGACTGGCTTATGAGGTCAGGGCTTACCGAGATGGTTGGCGACAACATCCACAACGAAGACGACATCCTCGCCAGGTGCGTATGTCCTCACTGTGATCTTTGGATCGATGGGAGAGCCTGATTCGTGCAGGCGTGGTGCAGGTTTTGAATAACTGTCTCCACACACTCCACAGCGACCACCGTTATCGGCCCACTGCACCTGTTGACAGACAAACGAAAGTAACAATGGCGTTAGCTTTGTTTATTGTTGGCAACGCTGAAAATATATTTTCTTCTTCCCACTTTTCTTCCAACTCTTAAGCACCTAACACAATCGGGTATCAACAGTCTCAATTAGTTTTATTTCATTTAATGAAGAAAGACCCACGAAGATAAAACGAATCTGATTCGCAGCCAGTGTATTATATCCAATATAAATATATATATACATATATATTAGTTAGCAATTGTACACGTGGGTACGGTAACTAATATATGTAGTTTATTCCGGTAGATTATCACTTGTGCAATGAATAAAACAATCTATGTGCCTATGAATGATATATTTAAACCAAGACGGGTTTCGGCTTTAAGCGTTAAACAGGTCCCTCATAACATCCCCAAAAGCGTAGATTCTACTGGATACTATACACACTGATCAGCCTCTAATTGTAACTTATCGGCAATTGCACACAGGGGCACGCCTGGTGGGAACTTCTGCACTGGGAGGGAGGAATAGCATCGTATGCTATAGTCGTCAAGTTCGTTTCCGGTCATAGGTTTTTTGCGTAATTGACTTTCAGTTGATCTTTCCGCAACAGACTTCAGTAGAGCTATTAGGCATTGCTTTAAAGGTCCGCTGAATTAAGATGTACCGTACGCGTCATCTAAAGGGGCCAAACAACAGAAGGGATTCACGTTTCCGGCAGTAACATGCTTCTTGTTTCAGCTAGCTCATGCCGCTGTTAGTCGCTTTTCGATACTAGGCACACGTTAACAATTAACTGGATACGACTATCCAATGACAAATGGAGACGCAATCGAAATAATAGAGAACGAGGCGGTGAACGACTAGCTGCAGGAAACTTCGCAAGAACGAACTAAACATGGTTAGCAGTGGTAAGGTAGTGATAACTCATCTACCTACAAATCAAATGGTAGTTTTAGGCTCGAAACTGGACGCAAACAAAGTGTGCCCCGGACTAGAAGCCACCCTTTTGGAACAGTGCGTAACAGCAGTATCGAACGATAAAGTAAGTACACCCATTCAACCTTTGCTTGATGACGATCTAAGCACTCGATATTTCTGTTCAGTTTGTTTTCAAGTTTTATCAGTACTTGACTAGAGAGCTATTTCTTCTTCTGCACTTCTGCACTTCTACAGAAGTGCATTAGAAGACACACATGACAATTGCGCTCGATATTAATCATAACAACGCCAACGAATTCTCGTGTCTTCCTTTTCTGCCACCAGAAGCTACACACAACCTTTGATATTAGATCAAGGTCATCCTGTTGAAATGATAAACCACCAATTAATTAGACGCGTTTATACCAGTGAGTCGTGCGTAAGGGCCTGCGATGTATTAATATTCATCCACAATAGTAAACAATGATACGTGCTTCACTTGTAGAAAATACGAGTTTTCGATTTATGACAAGTAACCCGTTTAACGAGAACTTGCAATGGGAGTCGTCGAAGTAGCAAAACTCGGAAGTTCGGAAATGCTCCACGGTAGATCTGTACCTCTCTACCTGACGCCCCACAACGTAGCGATAGGTAATATCAAGAACAGGAAAGATAGTTTATCGACCCATAATGTCAATCTGTTTACAAGATTCTAGAGGAGTTCATTCTATAAGACTACGGGATACACAGGTATTGTTTCTCTAGCCATTGGAATAAAGTGACGATGTGGATCTTGGATTATCCGAATTACTTTTGTATAATATATTTGACTAACAATAGTGACAAGCAAAAATTGCGCGCCCTAAGGCTACGTTATGTTAAATAAGACTCTGCAGGAAAAATGTGCTCCATATTTAAAGACAGGACTAATAAAGATTTCGTTTACTGAAAAATGGGGATAGTGTTACGTTCCTACTGCCCAGATACGTGATCTATACAGAGTTAAAAGTCACGAACATTGGGGGTCTTCACTTCGAACAGGCTATCAAGCGAACGGAGGCCAGTTCCAGGACCGTTCGCAACACCTGACTTGTTGACAAACGATCTTTATTATTTCAAAATGCTAATGGAAGTATGAAAATATAGCAGAAGCACAAGCACAATATTGCAGGGAACCTTATATATAAAATATTCATCTACGCAACTTGAAATGAATTGGATAGGAGAAATTTGAAGCGGAGAGACTTTTTAGGATGTCGATAGACAACGTTCCAGAACATCAAAGAACTTCACTAACCAGGAAAGGGTGCTGGAAAGCTCTAGCGGCACCTCTTGTAAGATAATCAGCTTATGATTTGATATCAGCAGATCAAGCGCCGACCACATTTGAACACTTCGTACAGGGGAAAGGTTGAATTAAAGATGGACTGGACTGAAGAACACAGTTTGCAGATGATAAGTAAAAGAACAATGATTGTTTGGAGCAATGAAGTTACGTTCAGATAAAATGGCTTCGACGTTTTCGAATTAATCGACATAATTATACTTACTGGGCAACTTTATGTTTATATGCTACATAAAGGTAACGTGTAAATTTACCAGCAGGTGTGGTGTGGTACAGCTTTTCAACCGGTGGTAGATTTGGTTTCTAGCAGAACAGATAAACCTACATACGATTCTTGTGATGTAAGAACATATCTTGATGGGAATTTCCCATTCAAAGATGAATGCATGAGACAAAGAAGTCCAGTAAAATACCCTGTCTGTTCTCTATACGTGAGGCGGATGCATTCCTTTTGAACATTTTTCAAAGACAAGGTTTATGCTAGAAGATCGACGATGCTGGAAAAAAATACACATTTTACATAGATTCTCTTGCGATTCAAACACCAATTAAATGTGTATACAGACTGAATAAAGTTATATCTATTGAAACCAGCTATATATTTTTAATATCTCGTATACATATATGTGTGTGTGTGGTTTTAAGGTAGAGATTTGTTTATGTTGAATTCCCGATACAACTGCTCCGATACTACCGTCCGTTCCATCAAACGTAGCGCGTAAAGTCTAGTGAACACAGTAATTTACTAGAAAATATACAAAGATTGTTTCTTGTTAATAAGACATAACATACTATAATACAACACGGAACGAGACGACGCAAAACATGAATACAAAATGCCCCCTTTGAATTCACTCTGTGGATGAATGTAGTTTCAATCGCTTGCGCGAGGTGATGTGATGCAATGGGGACGGCATGCGATACCGTTCAGTAGAAAAGATTTGAGCTGAATAAACATGGATCCTAGCAACCCCGTTACATTCCCTGTTTGTTCCCTCTACGTTGCTTTTCCTCATGCAGATTTCTCTATCGTAACAAATTCTCTTTCACGAATTAATTTATTTTTTGGTAAAGTTGTAGCGTTCATTACAGTCGTGCTATTCTATTCGTCTTTTCGTTGATACCTCGTGTTTTTTTTGTGTGCCATATTCGTCATACTGTACACTTTATTAGTCTGTTAATATCTGGCCATTTACACTCGGCTGTCTGTGGGGACTACGATCCTATAACTTTTGCTGTGATTTCTTTTTCTATACACGTAAAGGCGCTACGGTTGCGTTTATTTATTTTATCTATATGATATAGCAGTGTAGTATAGTTCTTAAATAACAAAGCACACAACGAGGGGAACTTGGGGGAGCGGTCCATCAGTTAACGCCTCCAGTTGATTTCGCCTCTGGTTACCGAGTGAGTGGTTTCCAGTTGCCTAATTTACGGCACGCGTATATCACAAAGCAGTGATAATAACACAGCAGAAAGTCGAAGGAATTACACGGTTGACGCAGCGTCGATGCTCAGAGCGTATGGATGGAGGTAAATAGCAGATTCACAGTAAATGTCGGTCCTGACAATGGTCTTGGGTAATGCAGGCTAACTGGAAAATCGCCATTACGCAGCAAGAGTGGCGTGATCATGTATAAGCGTGTTTCGTCGAAAATTTTGTTTGCGGGAGATATGAATGATGCTTTCGCTAATTGTTCTTATCAGATGTTTTTACGGTGCGACTAATCAGATACATCGTTAGGGGCGCTAGACGCGAATTTTGTTCAGCTTTGGCGGGCACTGCCAACACCTCAACGTCTCCTATTGAAAAAGACACCCGGGTATTATTTACTAAAGCTAACCAGTTTCACAGTGAGGCTGCTATAGGAATGAGATCGTTGGTCGAAGACTGACAATATGTCGACTAGGGACTACAACCTTCCTATTTTAACCGCGCCTAAACAGCTAACTGTTTATTGTTTACGTTCTGATTATATATATATATATATATATATATATATATATATATAAAAGCAATCACCTAGTACATCATCGTATTCTACATTGTAACAATAAAATGTTAGTTAAAACTCTGAACGCATAAAGGAAGTCATAAAAAGCCTTTTTCAAATCTCTAAATGTTTCTACGATCGATTTTTAAGTTTAGTCCACACAAAACATCGCTTAACATCACGGACAAGGACATATTGCACGAAGTTGCACTTCGTTAGGCGCTAGTAATTGCTGCCGCTTATATAGCGTTCCCGTTCCAGGGATACTAACGTGAGTGCGTATTTTGTGAACTTATTCTTCACGATGATTTTTGCAATGTGAAGAAAAGCTTCCCGATATTCAACAAAGGTTTTCGCACTGCACGGTCAATCAAGGGTCTACAAAGATGATTATCACTTCAAACGAGGTGTTTGTCCTTATTGCGTCGAAAAAAAGGCCACCTATTAAAATAAAAACGGAAACATTTTTATTTATTCCTCCCTCCGTCATTGCTAAACTTTCCCCACGGCGATGTATAGCACAATATATGGTATAGTTAGCACTCGTTTAGTGAAGTCCCGTGTATTCCAGCCGTTTAAACAATATAACAAAGAACAAGACGATCTTTTGCAGTATCAAGCGGTGCAATGTTTTACTAGATACCTCATAAGCTTGTGAACGTCGACGAACCAGCACGCTTGGCTAATATGTTTATAATGGATTGGCAAACCGAAATCAACGCGGCGATGGGCTTCTTGCTTCAATTCTCTCA